TTACGTAGTAAGGCCCTCTTTGATGTGTGCTGCAGTAAACACAGGCAGTTCTCGCCCGACCACAGTCTCCTGGGGGATAAGGCTCAGCACAAGAACACTAATGAGCACATTAGAAGGAAGCCATAGAGGGAAGATGCTAGTTGTAAATGGCATTGTCTCTTGTGCTGTCTGTACCAGCATGCTCTGTCTACAGTAAGAGCGCATGTCTATATACATTTCATACAGAATACGGACTATATGCAGAGTACTAAGGCCTCCATATGACAATTACTTGAAAGCTTTTTCTGTGACAATTCTTTTCCAACTTTATGAAAGCATAATGCGAGATTTTAAAATTGGATTTTAATCAGGGCTGCAAAAAACTGTAATAAAAACCACCACTTTCAGCTGCACCGTAATTAACAGTTGAAAGTAATCAAGCATTGGAGTTAGAAAGTGAAAGTGGGACTGTGAAACAGAGGTGACATATGCCACTGACAATAACAGGAGCAAAGGATTATAAATGGAGCATTCACCATTTATTCCATTTAAGCGAATCACAGGGCATGAAGAAGTGATGCATCACAATTCTACCCAAATTTTCATGGCTATCATGTCAAGGCGACTGCATCGGTTAGAAATGATGCTTGTTTTATGGAGCTGAGTTTGTTACATGCTGCAATACCAAATGATCAAAGTTTTAAGCATGAGGCAAACACCGAAAATGTCTTAGTGGCAGAAAAGTAACACAAAAACTCAGATCCATGCTGCATTGTGCAGCAAAATATCTGCAAACAGTGGCCCAGTTTTAGTGCTTTTAGTTTTGATTAGCTGTACATGTATGCAGAGAAGAACATGTAGTACTGTGACTTTTTTTCCCTTTTACTGTACAAAAAACATAGTGCATCTACATATCATCACCTTCTTTTTTTATCATGCATTTAGCTTAACATTCACCTTTATTTTGATTCACAGTTGCAGTTTCAACTCATGGGACTTTGCTTTTATTGTGGAGTTATTGAAACCTTTATGTTACAATAACAGATCTGTATGTAATGATTTCACCCCCCATCCGAAATGATGATATGTTTCAGAATGAAAAAAATCCTATATTTAGTTTAAGCTGTTAGACTTTTTTGAAGATATTGATTGAAAGCGATTCAATAGTAACGACTGAGAAGAACTTCCAGCCTCAGTATTCCTCTCAGATAACTCTGGTCTCTGAAGCATCATCTGAATCTGTGATCCCCAGCCAGTAGATTCCTTGAAAGTTACCGGGGGAATTGGCAATCTGGATTGCCTTTGTGCAACGGGGAGAGTGAGAGACGTGAAAATGATTTCAAAGAGTCCAGGATGAATCATGCTTCCAATGCAGCTGCCATTTATTAGCACATTTTCCTCAATTTTTTTTTTTTAAAGGTACCTGATGGTGTTTTTTTTAAAGGGCCCTAACAGTCTGAGTTTGCTAGAGCCATGCATTGCAAGGGTTTGATTTCGTAAAGAGGCTTCATTGTAAGTGTTAATAAAAGAAGCGAATGGCAACTTGTATGTTTGTCATAATTAGTCGTGACACCACATCTTAATATTAAGTAAATGCAAGGGACACATCATTTATCAGCTATTACCTCAATAATGAAGATGAAGATTCAATTTAAAAAAGTATGATAGGCTTTCAGCACTGATTTCATAGAAAAACATCTTCCAAAAAAAGTTCTGTAGTTGGTCTGACTGCTTGGATCAATTACAGGGTTTACGCTGATATGTTCAGGGTCAGTCCCTTGATTGTTAACAAATGACGGCACAGAAAAAAAAACAAAAAAACATCAAAACATACAACTCCACATAATCACCACTCTCCTGTGACACATTCAAGAAACTGATTAATTGCTTTTTTAATTTGCTTCATTTCTGACAGGGGAATATTTAAAGAACACAGCTTTTCAACAGGATCCTGTTTGACAGGTGCTCGTTCAAAAGTGCCCAACTCGTGCTTGCTACGCTGCAGATTTTTTACCATTTCTTGCCTGTCACAGTGATGAAAAGGGAACCCATAAGAAATTGACGGGCTGTATAGCTGGAGGCCAAACATATCTGAAGATGACTTGTTCTTCGATGTGGCCAAGAGGGTTAAAAGAGTGGAGGCAATCCTTTAAGGCTTAAGAGGTCTTTTTGCTGATTTTTGAGAGCTAATCAGTACCGCCCGCTTGTTTGTAGGAACCTCATGCCTGGTAAAGAATAGCAGCCTTTACTTTGTAGAATGACAGGTGAGAGACTTAGCACTTTTTGTTCTGATTTAAGGAAGTGAGAATGCTGTAATGAGTGCATTTACTTTCACATGTACAGGTCAAACGAATCATTGCGTATAGTGCTATAAGTGGGATATTAAAAGCCACAGGAAATTTCAAATATCTGCTATTCTAAAAACCCTTTGCACATTCAAAGTATGCCATAATATGTTCAATTTAAGAACTCATGTCAGCCTCCCTCCCTCTGGGTATGAAACTGGCACATTCACTATTCACTGTCTGAAACAGAGAACCAATATACAAAAAGGTGCTGCTATAACGTGCCTTGCAGCTTTGTGGGAGCTTTGTCCGCTCAAATGTATGGAGACATCATATATCATCATTGATTCCCGAAGTGCGGTGTCATTGGTGGCACAGTGACCTTGTGTAGTTCACATCCTACCCCTCCGCTCTGTCAACAAAATGTGACAAATGAAATGAACTATTTTCCAGCAGCAGAGCTTCAGCAAAAGCTTCTTTAAAGCTCTTTTGGGTCAAAGAAAAAAAAAAAACATAAGATAACAAGTTTAAAAAAAAAAATGAAGCTTTTGAATCGCTTGAGCACAGATAAGATTACTTGTGATACAGGTACTAAAAAGGTGTCTGTTATCAGCATGACCTTGGCTTTTCCAATGTAAATATATCAATGCGTAGGCTTACAGCACAAAATCAATTTTCTCTTTTGTCAGAAAAGCTCTGCCTCCTGTGTTTCAACCTGAACCACTGACCTAACAGCGGGCGTTGCCTTTGTATATCAAACGTGTTATTTTTCACATGGTCACTGCTGCTGTCTGATTAAAAAGCTACGAGGGACTTTTAAACGCCGTGACAATTATTGCCACGGACGTGCGTACCACAGGAGGACGTTGTGTTCTATTTTCTATTATTAAAGTTGCATCTTGGAATAGATAACCTTTTGAACAATCCACTGTGGGAATTTGTGGAATTAATATTACAAGATGTTATGCGGTGTCTTTTAAAGCCTAGAGAGTGAGGGAGTCGACTTGAGGTCGGCCTACTTTCATATGCATCCCACTCGAGGGGCTGATAAATAAGAACTGATCCAAAAATTATTCTAAGCAGCAATCAAAATGCAAGACGTGCAACAGATACAGAACGTGAAAGTATTACCTTTCTTATCTGTTAAATACATCCTCTTACATGAGGTTCAAACAAAAAAAAAAGTCAACGACCCCAAATGCATCTGAAGATATGATCTGAGCTGCTACAGTAAGTGGTTTAAATGATATCTTCCAAAGTTTTTACTCTGACAGAGTAGAGTCTTGGTTGGACCCTGGAGCACCACATATCTTTTTTTGTGTTCCCTCTGATCTCTCATCATCTCCTGGGCCTTACATCAAGAGCCCCCAGATTTATCGATCAATGGCCATAAACAAAACACAGATTGAACTGGGCACTGGGGCACAGCAAACAGATTACCGAGTTTTTTTATTCTGCCGCACGCGATTGGTGGCGAGAGCCTCAGCTGAAAAAGGCCATTGGCCGGGAGAAGTTGCGACGCATAAAGCAGACTGGGAGACAGAGATTCGGCAGACTCACACAAAACAGGATGATAGGAATAGGCCCGGGAATGACAATTTGAAGAATATGGTGTGTGAGTGCATGTTTGTGCATTCACATGGCGTGTCTGCGTGAATAGTATAAATGGATGAAAGCAGAATCTGATGTGTAATCCAATTGTATTGGCAAGGTATTGAGCGTAATACCAGTCAATCCAATTTTCGATGCTTGACTACATGATGGAGTGAAAGAGCTCCTGGGTGATAAGTTCTGTGTCACTGTACTGTACTCGTGTGTGTGTGTGTGTGTGTGTGTGTGTGTGTGTGTGTGTGTGTGCGCGTGTGTGCGTGTATGAGTGTACTTGTGCGTGAATGAGTTTGATAGAATATCTGCATACATTAGCGTGTGGTTGCACATGCTAGCAGACATTATTTATACGTTGCTCTGACCACATGCCTGACAGCTGTGCATATTTCACAGGGTGGAGAAACCTGCATTGCAGTGCTTGAACATGGCAGCCATGCTCTTGATGTGAGAGCAGCTCAGGGTCAGAGTAGAAGAAGAGAATTAAAGCTACATCACCAGGCCAATTTCTCTGTCTCTGTTCTGCCTTTGTGTACTGTGACATCATTATCTTCTCCCTTTCTTACATCTTTCTTACCAAAGCAGCAGACTGCGAAATTCACTGCGGAGTTGTGGTTACACTACTTAACTTGAAACAGCAGGAATGCAGTACATATGTTTAATAAAAGCATCAACATATACACCAAAAGCAGTAGCAACACCGATAACACTCATTCATTTTAAAGCAGTCAGTAACATGCTTTACATCATTACTTCACTTTCTCTCTTGCATCATGTCAAAGTCACAAATCTTGAGGCAGAAAATGCTAATTTTGCTCAGTCCATAATGAAGAGAGATGTTCCCCGGGCTATCCTGCCTTTAGCCTGCCGAGTCTCAGAAATCAAGGAAGGAATAAAGTCTTCTCTTTCAATCTGCGGAGAGTGGTCATATTAGTACAAAAAAAGAAATCACTGCAGAAGGAGAACTACAAGCATGACGGCCATCTGCAGTAGGCAGCACATCAAAAAGATTAAAGAAACGAGAAATGTTCAAGATGCAAAACTGAAAGAAAGAGACTTTTTCTTTTTCTTTTTTTTTAGTTTTTCTGGCCAACTGTAACTAAATCTGTCTCCCTCCGTTTCTGTCTCCAGCAGTGGCCCCCACACTTCCAAGTCTACGTTCAGAGGTCTTCAAGCCATGTGTGGAAGACAAGGATCTGGCCTTCTGTCTAAATGAGGGAGAGTGCTCCATCATCGAAACCGTGGCTGGGGTTCACAGACACTGCGTGTGAGTCTGGTAGTGCTTGTGTGTGTGTGTGTGTGCGTGCGTGCGTGCGTGCGTACGTGCGTGCGTGCGTGCGTGCGTGTGCTTGTGTGGGTGGGTAAAGCATTTGGTTTCATTCTCATCATTGACGTTTCCTCTCTTTGCCCTTCCCCTCCAATCACTAACCTTGAGGTCATTTTCATTCAAGCTGCTTTTTTTGTCTCCAGCCTGACAGACTGTGTTCTTACAGTGATGACACACAGGAAAATCGTTGTGCGAATGCGCCTAAAATGCACCGAAGATCTATAATCACCCAAAGCACTAACCCGGGGATCAGAGATGCTTTGGCCGCATTAGATGCAGCGGATTCTCTGATCTGCACAACCGAACTACCTACGCAAATGGAAAGAAAATGCTTCCACGCAGATTCAACTAGGACGCACATGGGGAGCAAATGTGATCAAACCTCTGTCTTCAATTTGGTCAGACAAAAGTTTTAATAGTGGTAGCAGTCTTATAAAAAGCCCTTTTCCTCACGTATTAACCTTGCATGAATGTTGTTGGATATGACCTCTTTGGTATAAGGTGCATTTTAATGATAGGTGTAAAGATGGGGCTCTTGCAAGCTCCTTCTTTGATCATACTTAAAAGCAGCTGAATATAATTTTTTTTTTTTTTTCGCAGTTTTCCTATCTGTCTTTTTTCCTTTTGTTTGCCTCAGGCGCTCACTCAAACCTTGACTGCCCAAGGGAATACATACAGGTAACTCCTGTTAATATACCCTTGACGTACTTTGACACATTGTATAATGTAGCAGGGATAATTAAAATGCCAAAAAAGCAACAAATCCAATCACAAACTATGCCTTTGACAACTTATTTGCCTATGTTAGCAAGCCTTTAGTGTTTATCTGTCAGGCCACCAAGTTATGTTTCTTCAAAGTAGAAACAGCAGGCTAGGAAACATTCTTATAACTAATTCACATGTGATTGTATGTATACTGCAGATTTCTGTACACATGTGTGCCATTCATTTGCGGAGTTGCAAGTTCTTGCTTAGACCTTAAACTTCTCTCATCTTGATATGATCCTGCATGTCGGCCCCACCCTACACGCTTCCAACTCTGCAATCACTCTGATGTATCACTGTGAAAATGCATCACTTTAAAAATACATGATAAGAAACGTTCTTTCTGAGGGAAGAGTTGTGCTGAGTGGTGCTGAATTGAAAAACAGCTCATTAGTACACCTACCTGGAATTAAAGGGTCTAAATCTTCATCTTAAAAAAAAAAAAAGTAAAAGAAAAGAAAAAAAAAAGCGCATTATAAATAACACATGAGGATGAGTCAAGTTGTTCAGAAAAGTAAATGCTGGGTGAAATAAAGTTGAGAACAGTTGAAAAATAGTCAGGAAATTGTGCGTTTAATTAAAACTCACTGACCACTGGGTTTGAGAAATGGATAGTAGTTTAGTAGTAACTATGTATAAAAAAAATTAATGATAACACTGTAACACTTGTATATTTGATAATATAATGATATATAATTTCACTGTGAGACGGCTAGGAATAATTAAATGATAGGAGGCAGAGTCGGCGTGTGTTTCCTGTCAAATTACAGTCGCCGGCACAACAATTTCCAATGTGCCACCTGTTCAACAGCAGCATCAAGAAACCCTGAAGACCCATAGCAACTACCCTCTGGGTTATAATTAGCGCCGGTTGAATGACTGCATATAGGACTCAGGACAGACTGGAGGGCCTAACCTAGAGTCACTGTCTGCCGATTTCTCTTGAGCTGAGTGCCTGTTGCGTGAAAGAATGATTACAGGTTTGCAAGATCTTTTATTGAAAGGTTGTTTCTTTTGCCAGGGAGAAGTCCCGGCAGTAACTCAGAAGAACATTATCATTTTATTCAAAAATCTCTGCCAAGTTAATGTCATTGCTGCACGGTTGGAACTCCAGGTGTGCTTCAGATTTTTAAGGCGAGCTTTTGCGAGACAGTAATCACTATATTGAATTATTTTGAAGGCACTTTGCATCAAGTATTAGTAAGTAATTTGAAAATCGAATCTACTGTTATTAAAGCTGCATTAAAGTATTTCTGACCATTACAAATTCAGAGCAGCAGAGTCCTAATTCTATGACGCTGAAACAGTTGTATTTGTACTATCAAGCCTTTAAAACCTTTAAAACTCCCTTTATTCCACGACATAAAACAGTCCTCCTTCCAATATTCCAATAGTCCTTTTTCCTCTTGTTTGGTCCAGCAACTCCTGAGAAAACTATCTGTGTCTTTTTTGGCTTGCAAAATGTTCACCTTTCTTCACCAGCCTTATGTTTACTCGGATCTTCGCCATTTCATGCTGAGCAGGTAACGTACAGTCAACCTTTGTTTGCTGAAAATGGCTTCCCACGGTTTTATTTATTTATTTATTTTTTTTTTTTTTGTGGGATTCAACCATATGGACTGACAAACGAAAACAATGAGCTGAATGCTGCAAATAGCTGTAGAGTTGCTGCCGTGCTATTATTGTATCCATGCTACACTGTACACTATGTTTACCCTCTGGTCCTTCTTCCTGTCAGAGATACTGTGAGTGAAGATAAACCCCAGATATTGTCCATCCACATTCCGGGACACAGCTAAAACAGAAAAGGTTAGGGCGCTGGAGGAAGTGCTGCTGTTCATTCATCCCTCGTGACAGTAAAGTAAAGTAAAAACCCAAAAAAAAATTAAAGGTTCAACAATTCCTGCCTCCTTTGATGTCATCTTCTCCTCCTCCAAGCCACAGTGCAAAACAGCATAATGGATGGCTGGATGTTTTCCAACATGAGACAAGTAAAGATGTCAGAACAATCTTTAAACACTTGAATCATTGGATGAGAACACACTTTCGAACTTATGGGAATCAATTTATTTTGTTATGAAACATTTCCCCCGCTCTCCTCCCTCGCTACGGGGTCCCCGGCTAGAATGAGCGGATGATGAGTAGATACGATGTGCGCGCTATTTCCATGGCGGTAGCTATCTTTGATCCCCTGATTAGAGCATGCCGGTTACATGGTGTGCCGATTGTTGAGTATCAGATTGGATACGTAAGACGTTAGTATTTGTTCCTTATTGAGGTTACAGTGGTGTACGGCAAGATTTGTATTTCAGTACGATGGATCCTCGTTCTGGTGAGCCGTGCTGTCAGATAAAGTCTCGGTTAGGTCGATCGGGAGGGGCATTCGGATTTTTTTTTTTTTTTTTTTCTTTTTTTGATGTGTTTAGTACTATCCGTGCGCCGCAGCAACTGTGAGTTGGTTGTGCGTCGCGAAGGATACTGGTGGTGATTGGTTAACGTAAGGGCTGCAGTGGCTAATCGAGAATGAAGGGTAGACTGGGTGTATGCGGTTGCCCCAGCTGAGGTAACTTAGAAACCCCCCACCCCCCCCCCCCACTCTCTGCCGGATGTTCATGTTTGCCAATGCTAATAAGGAGCCCAAAATAAACATGCAAATGTGAGTTTAAGACCTACTTCCAGATCAGTGCAGTGGCTTCTTATACACTAAGTACAATAAACGTACAATAATTCAAAGGCCTTGTGATACTTCATACAGTCAGTCATACAGAATTATTACTGTATAGATAACTACAAATTAAACCATTCTCAGTCGAGGTTTATTTAAAGGAAGCAATTACTCACTCCAGTGACCTGCTAAATTCCCCCAAATTTTCCTCCTTTTAACAGTAGAAAATGAAAAGGAAAGGTCAAATCAAAAGTATATTTTTATGTTTGTTTGTACCTTTCTAAATTGGAACAAATGCCAAACACACTGGACTGAGTTTAAATGTGATTTAAACCTATTTCAATTTCCAAAACTAATTGTTAAAACTTTAACGAGACAAATATTAATGCCAGTTATTGTATTCAAATTCTCCTCTTGCAATTTGCAGTGCTATGTCAATGCAGCGTCTGTTTAGTTCATAGAAATCTAAAAATAAAGAACTTGAAATGTCAAGCATCAGCTGTCAAACGCAGCACAAATCAAAGAAGACTTCTAAATCTCAGTATTGTCCTGTGTAGATCCACTGTATCAAATCCGCCTTCAGGAGGAGGAGAAACATGATTTTGACGTGCACTTCTGATAGCAAAGGAGAGACGATAAGATGATGACACACTTTTCTTTGGGAGAGATGTCAGACTCACTGAGGGCACAAAAGTAGAATCCACGTATCCTATGAAAATATAAAAAAAAGCCAAAGGTGGAGGAATACATTATCAGGAGGTGTAGTAGAGCTGGCCGTCATACCCAATCATGTCACTTGTTTTTCTGTTCTTATGTTCAGTACCACAGCACTCACACTTTTTTTTATTTTATTTTTTTATTTTGATGGTGAGTCTGGAATGAAAAAATAATAAAAAATCTCCTCATGCCAGAGGGAGAGAATCACCGCGGGCGTTTATATACGGCACCCTAAATTAAATTAACATTGGAAGAGATAACTCATGTTCCTGTGATCCTACAAGAACTGTTGCCCAGTGTGAGAATTCAGTGTCGGTGTTGGTGAAGAGACAAAAGGAACCTGCGGCAGACTGTTGAGACACTTTGGCTGTGCCAGAGCAGCAGAGTCCTGCCAGAGCCTGACAGAGCCACAGAGTATACAGCTACCTGCACAACTGTCACTCCGTGCATAACGGTGAATGCTGACAGCTCTGGGTCGAATAACAGTCACCGCGCACTGCCACAAGTGTATTTAGTTATGACCAAAATGATTTCATATATTTTTTCCCCAGATGAGGGATTCAAGTTGAAATTGCTCAGCGTATCAGCCACAGAGAATGAATAGGAATTATTCCTGTTGTCTTTTTTTAAGAAAAACAGCATATAACTGTACCTTGAACCATGCACTTTAGCTATGATCTATACAGGTGGGTGGTACAGGGACGTTTATGCTAATTATTAACAGCAGAATTTCAGTGCTGCATAACCGCTACTGAAATGCAGCACATTTTTCCTTTCCTTCCACTTAAGCGCA